CTCGGGAAAAATAATTTTTCTTGAACATGGACCAAGGACTACATTTTCCTTTTCCACTAATACCATGTAGTTTTGTGACAAATATTACTTAGTTACTAAGATACTAGATTAATTTTCTTATTTACATTTTTCTACGTGATAATAATTGTTTTTTAATGTAGATGTCCAAGTAGTCATAGTTCAAATAGTTGGAGCACAGATTCCTATAATACAACAAGTAATGCTTACAAAATTTTTGATTTTTATTATTATACTATTTAAAAAATACTATAGTTAGATACAGTAGATGCTGTTTACCGATTAAACTCATCTTTGTTGAAGACTCTACTAACTGAATGAATCAATAAGTTGAAAAGTCCATAAATAAATATTATTACGCATTGTAATAAAATAAATTTAACATGGTAATGTAGGTACTTATAAATAATAAATACAATGTATTTCATAATATGTATTCTATAGATACTAAATATCTATGTTATCATTTAAAAATGTAAGAACTCTTAAAAAATACTTTTTTTTCAAAAACGTAGTTTCGTAATGACATAAAATTATGTAAAAATTATTTTCAAAAATAGTAATATCTTTCAAAGTGTAAAGTCAAAGAAATTGTAAAAATCGTCAAAATATTTGCGTAAAATCGAGAAATATTCATATTATTGAGAAGTATGCATTTAAAAATATACATTGACTATATATTAACCGGTGTAGTGAGTTTAATGAATAAATATTTTTCTGTGTGTTATTATATATGTAAACCGGCCCGCTGCAATTTGATTCAGATAGGGTCCAAGAATAAAGTAAAATAAATATTATTATACATTGTAATAAAAAAAAAAAAATTAATTTTGTAATATACTTATAAATATTCATTATTATGTATTTTATAATATGTATCTATATGAGCTATGTTGCCATTCATAAAGGTAAAAACGGTAAAAAATAAAATAGGAAAAATACATTTTTTTCATTTTTTTTTTTCATAATGACATTAAATTATGTAAAAAAATGTTAATACTTTTTGATGCATTAAGTTAAAAACACATTGTATTAATCGTTAAAATAAATGCTTAAAATTGGGATTTATTCCCTTAAAATACACAAATATTATGCCGTGAAGTAAATTTAATAAATAAATATTTATCTATATGCGATAATATATATATAATATATATATATATGACCTACAGTTTTAGTCTTAATGAGTTAATTAACTGTGAGTCTAATCAGTAGTGTATACAGTACCTATTTATATTTACATACCTTCAAAAATAAATGAAAAAGTAATAAATAAATTATTATATATTATTTGATTTTTAATTTTATTTCACAATTAATTGACAAAAATTTTGAAATAGTATTATATGTCTTTGTGTAATATTTGTACCTATATTTTAATTTTTATTATAATTAAAGATTATAATATAATATACATCTATTTATTGTAAAGAAAAAGTTGTAAATATTTCGAAAAGATAACAAAATGCAATGCGCGTTGAATTAGTTAAAAATTAGAAGAAAAAAAATGATATTAATGAATGTTTGTTTATGAAAGCATTATATTTAAATAAAAATCCTATAACTATTTATTGTTGTTAAAAGAATTTAAAATAGTAATGTTTTTGATTTCTAATGAAACTCAAGGTTTTTCCTCTAAATTTTTGCTTGTGGATACTCTTGCATTTAGACTGGCTAAGGTCGCTAAGGAGGTACGAATGTATAAACAGATAGCTTGCATTATATGAATGAATCTTAATTTTTTAAATCTAACTTCAAATTAGACAATTTTGAAAATTATTTTTGATTAAATATCGAGTTAGGTAATTGTGGTAACAGTTGCTCGATTTAAAAAAAAAAACGAGAAAGTAAAAATGTCGGCTTACATCGCGTGCATTTATACTTGATACTTGTTTTAAATAAAAATTTAAATATATTATATACCTACATCCAATTATACATTTTTTTCGCTGATTCTTTTATCATGACCTTGAGAATAAGTTATTGATCACTATATATTTATTCTTAAAATCAAAGAGAAATCACTGAAAACAAGTGACTTGCCGAATTAAATCGATTAGGTGAAAAAAAAAAATAATATACATACTTATCTGTTGTTTACAACTAATTTAGTATATTGTTATTTTTTAAACAAATGACCAATTTTGAAATAGATAAAATTTAAAATATACGATTTTAATATTTGAGTACCAAAAATTAATCTAGTATAACACATTTAATCTCGTTGAATATAGGTTAAGACTACCTACATGGACAACACGACTGTTTATCAATACATTTATATAAATGGTTAAATTAAATTAAAAATACTATTTTATATATTGATGAATAATTCCCATGGTAAAATTGTTATTCTTGCTTGGCTGCTTGTAATAAATTATTTAATCCTATATTTATTTTATTACGCATACGTTCAATAGTGTTGTACACAGTTATTTATGTTCATTAGAAATTATTATTCTACGTTTTTGAAAAGTTGACAAATTATTTTAATTATAATATAATCAATATCATATTATAGTCACACGTTACTAATACATTTTGTAAAATATTATACTTAAACGAACGTATAATTTTTAAATCACTCTTATTTGACACGACGTGTGTTGTCGATTATCTTTTCAATAAAAATTACAATTAATCAGCATATCCGATCATCGTAGCATAGTAATGTAGTTTATTTAAAATTCGAAAGTAGTTTGAATTTAATTAATTATTGCGCTGTATAAATAAATTTTAAATTTCGAACTGATGACACGGCCGATTAACAAAAAAAAAAAACTAAAACATATCTTTTTAGAAATTATAAATTTTTTTTAACTCACATAACTAGACTAGCTTTTAAAATAAAGTTTGTAAATTAAACAGTTTTCTATGTAGATAAATGCAATCCATGTATTATGCTTTTAATATAAAGTTTAAATAGTAATTACATTTTACCGACATTATAATATTCAGCGGTAATCGGTACGACGTGTAAATATATTGATATTTTATAATAGTTATAGGTACAGTTATAATCGTATTATCTTTGTTGAATATTTGCGAATACGCATTGTTGATGTTGATAAATCTTAAACGTAAAATAAATAGCTATTTCAGACAAATCACTGCAAATTTGCATGTATGTGTGATTGTACATTATTTAGCTATATACCATAAACAATACATACTCGTAATAAATCAAAGATACAGACGTTTTGCTAATTACTATCGTTATATTACAATAGCTATAGTTGTAGGTATATAATATAATATATTATATGTAATAGTATTATAGGTATTTCAATCGTACAGCATTCGTATGGGCATACAGGACAATTGCATAGGTTATGTGCGTACTGCATAATTACTACACTATATGTACGAGATGCAGTATAGCGTGTGTAAATATGTAGATATTGTATTTTAATATACCTATATATCTACTATATACTAATCGTAATACACCAATACGTAATTAATTTCACACCGTTCGTTGATGTCGCGACACGCGGGACACGCGCGTAAGCATTACCATTACCCGTTGGCTATTATATATATATATATAGGTAGGTGCGCGTCTGTGTATTATAATAATATTGTAATTTGTAATAGGTATGCGGAATGTGCGAAAAACGGAAACTGCACTCGCGAGACACACAGACACACGAGGAAGAATACTGTCGGTAAAATGATGTATATAGGTACGTGTTTACGTTTCCTCCTCTATCTCGACTCGCGCATCGTCGGGACGTCGCTATAATAATATAAGAAATGTGACTTTATTATATGCCATCGTTATCCCTACTTTCGCAATTTAATAAATTAAAACGTATCCATATAAACCGTATCGTATTATATATTGTACGATATCGATATAGTTAACTAAATAGATCGACGATCGGTATTACATTATTACACGGCAAACTAAATCTTTCCCCGCGCCCCCGCCGCCGCTGCGCTTCGGGGCATTATTCGCCGCCGCCGTCGTGATCTAGCGGGCGGCCTCGGGCATTGCCTCGCCGCCGCAGCCGATGACGACGACCACCGCGACGCGAGCCCGCGAGCCGGTGACCGGCATCGCCGCGCCGCGAGGCTACCCTCCGCACCGCCACCGCTCGTGCACCACGGTCTCGTTATACTCCCACCACCGCCGGCATCGCCGCCGCCACCACCAACGGCCACCACTACCGCCACCGCCGCCGCCACCACTACTTACTACACACTGTTCCATACTACCAGAAGCACTGCGCCGCTCCGGGCCAGGATATACTCCCGCCGCTTTTTGCCCGTGGTCAGACGTTTGCCGCCGCCGCCGCCGCCGCTGTGCCTCTAGCAAGAGCCGTCCTGCCCGGCAGTGTATCACCACTTTTCACTAGTAGTAGGCGGTAGTTGTAGTGCATATAATATATAGTTGTCACGATCGCCGTTTCGAGTGTCGCGTACGTATAAAATTCGATCGCGCGTGTGACTGACTTTGATCCGACGCGGTTTTACTCTCGTGCGTTGTTAATTATTTTTTTATTTTTTCTCGACCCGAACGTCGTCGTCAATATCGTACATTTGCATTTACCTAATCGTTTTTGTCGAACCCGGTGAAATAATAATTTTCCACTTCGCCGTCCCTGCAAACGGCGCGCAGCCTGCCGTGTAGCAGTAGACGTTAACTTTTCTCCCGGTTTGTAATCCTGTGCGCCGCGAAATTTGCACGAAACGCGTAGTGTGCCGAGCGAAACGTACGGTATCGAACAAATACGAGGTAAAAAGCTACAAAACGTTCCGACCGAATATTAATTATTAACGTCATTCCGCCGCCGGCCGCCGCTGCCGCCGCCGCATGTGGAGGTTACACATGCGGCGGAATCGGCGGCCGCCGCAGAGGAACCCACCGGCGGGACGGCGATCTCTTCGTTGCCGTTGACGCGCTCGCCGATTATCCCGCGCTGCACCGCCGTCGGGCACCAGCGGCCCCAGACGCAGACGCCGCCGCCGCCACCGAGATGACCGTCACCTCCGCCACCACGATCACTGCTGCCAGCAGCAGCAAATGGGTATGGCGGCCAAGATGGACCAAGTGGACGGCGACTTCGTGGTGTCGTCCGACATTCTGCCGTCGGGAAGTCCACGAAGATCGCGAGCCCGTCGACCAACTACCCGCCGGCCGACCGAGGCCGGTTCGCCGACGTGCAACGCAACAGTCGTCGTTCGCGTCGTCCAAGTTCGCGCTTGCGATTGTCACTATGCTCATGATGTTGACCGTTGCGGTGGAGGTAACGTATAATTTTTTCCACAAATAATTCCTCGCCGTACTCGTATTGTAATAATTGTACCGATAGCACCTGGGTCCGCGGAGTTGTCGTCGTAATGGAAATTATACGCAAACTGCATAAGCCAAATTTCAATTCAAATATAAATAAGTATATAATGTATGCCCATAGAATAAAATTCCACTTTGTACACGATTAAAATCCAATGGACAAATTATTATACATTTCAGTTATTTTTTTTTCGAACCTCAAGTATCTTTATTATTTTTGTACATTACATTATTTAATTAACACTTTTTTCTCCAGAATCATTTTATAAACTATATGATAATAATATGTCATATAGTTAAATTATAATTTTTTGTTATAATAATACAGTCAAAAATATCCCAGGGAACGCAATGTTACCCTCAGCTTACTGTGCGTCCTTTTAATTCTTTTATTTCAGGTCTGTTTTCGTATTTTACTCCGGCCATTTTACACATCTGTATGTATCAAAACAATATTATAGTTGTTTTTCTGACACATGTCGTGTTGTGATGAATCCGTATAGGGACACTAATAATAATTGTACCGTACGCTAAACGTACAGTCGTACAGAATTTATGGAGAAAAGTACACGGCAATATAACAATAACGGTTATTGTATATTATTTTACTATCGCAGATGAATGTATGCATTTACGACGACATCCGTCGGATACGAACTTTACTCGTGACAACTACTTTTCGACTTATTTATTTCCATTTTTTATTATTATTGCTACGATATTCTTGGGTGTATGTAATATCTATGCGGCGTTTGTGACATGTTTGACGCCGTGTAAATGACGTACGCGATATGTGCGCGGTTTATGTGGCACGCATTTACACGCGCGGTACCTATACCTATAATACATATATTTTATAAAAAAACTTATTTTTTTATAGTTCTCATCGAATTGCAGACGCTATCCACGATTGCAATATATATCGAGTTTATGGGGGCGATGGGGTGGGGGGCACGGCAAGTATACGTATACACTGGTCGTTTGACGACGGGTTCCCACGACTGTCGCCAGCCGTGTGTATTTAAATTAAACTAAATTAATATTTGTCGTAAATATCAATTACTGCTATCTCTGTAGTTAGACATAATAGTATAACGTGTATATTAGTATAATAGTGAGTACATATAATAACAACAACAATAATAATTATAACAATAATATTAGTAATAGCCAATAGGTAATAATAGTATATTATAATCGACTCAATATATATTATGTTTTAAGTACATAGGTATATAATAAAAATAGTATTGTCCACCTATCTATAGGTTAAAATAACTATGCGATTTTGGATGCTTAAGTAACGACACAATACCATATTCGTTTATTATAGGTACTGTTTTTCACATTTTTTCTATATTTCTAATATATTTGATTTTTTTTCTTTAAATTCGATTTATCATAATATATCAACCATGATTATTGATTTTTATTGTATACACAATTAGGTGGCTCAATGATAAAACGCGGCGGCTATATACAAATAATTTCTTGTGGAGCTGTCAACATTGTAGTATATTTACGCGTATACCCTGCCGTTGCATTATACTATAGAAATTTATCGGGTGCGGTGGTTTGTAGTTGTCAGGGAGTGGCGGATAGATGTACATACTATGGATATGTAGGATCGGGCGGCGTGGTAGCCGAATAGTTCTTTATAATATTATGGCTTATCTGTTTGTTTTAAAAATCAATGATATAAGTAATCAGTAGTGTGTGACACCTGCACCGTCGGAGCCGAATAATAGTATAATTTGTGATATGTGACGGGTATTTTTTTGTTTGCGTGTATGCATTGAATAATGTTGAATGACTTGAGCGACGTTGGTTATGTGTAGGTATGATACTCATACATTGAATAATATTGTTTTACAGACGTAATATTTCTCATTCATAACTTTTAAATTTATAAAATTATGCAATATAAACTTCGTATTTCTACACAGAATATTACCTGTATGTGATAAATATTTATTTTCATTTCAGTCTCATTGTAAATCTATTTTGCATCATATATAGGTCTTTGGTATTATTTGAAATTATGTCAAAAATAACTAGATCATAATTTTTATTTATACTTTAAAAAAAATATAATATATAGGCATATTAAACATATGAAAAATATACATTTATAAAAATATTTAATAATAATGAGAGGTTAAAATGAGAGTGAAAACTATCAATGGATATTTGAATAGGAAAGCTATTGAAAATGTATATTTGGGTAGTATTAACCTATTTTTAGAATTTATTAGAATGACATATTTTGACAATTTTTTTATGTATCAAACATGGCGAAGAATACAAAATGTTCGAAAAATAAGAAAACTTTTTTTAAATTAATAATTTTTTTTTAGTTATGTCAGTGCTTAAATTTTTTCTCACCCAAAAATAGTTTGTATGAGTTAACTGGTTTGATAATTATCAATAATCTTCACTTCATCAATTTTTAATGTTTTAATAGAACTTTAGCTACTATAATTTTAAGTAGTTTAAATAAACGAGTAATATTTTATTGATGTAAGTTATAGTTATTATTATTTTAAAAGCATTCTATTCAATTTTTTTACTTAAATTGCCTTTTAACTTTTGTATTTCAGTAATTTTTTTTACATTTTTCAAGGGTTTTTCAAATGTTTTTCATTAATCCTAAATTACTAACTTTTCTTAATTTCAACTTAATATAATTTAAGAATTTTGATATTTTTAATTGTATTTGATACTTAAAGGGTATATATTTGTTGTACGAGAATAATAGAAATCATTTAAGCAATTTAGCCGGAATATGAAATACATTCACAATTTCGATCGAGAACTTTCATTAAATTTTTCGAACAATATTATTCAACAGTTATTGGTTATTTATTTATTTTTTTTTTATCACAAATATTGTTTTTTTGTAATTTGTTCATTTAAATTGCTTAATTTATTTAAAGTGTCTGAATATTACAAAAACAAATATGTAAAAAGCTCAAACCTAATTTAAATAAATATTGATTTTTTATGTAATTTTATTATTTTTTGTTCATTCGATATCAAAAGTAGTACTCACAGTTAGATATATGCCATAGTATTATAAAAAACAAATATGTTAAAAGCTTATATTTACCTAATTTAAATAAATACTGATTTTAAAGCAGTTTTATTAATTCAATATCGGGAGTATTAAATAATATTAAAATATTTACCAAATAATTTTATTATTTAATTAAAATACATTTTTTAATCTTATTTTATGTTATCTGTCAGCTATGTTGATACCACTTTAACTCAACCTAGAGGTAATCACATTTAACGGATTTTACTGTTCATTGAAGCAATGTACAATATATTTATACGATTAGTTAGGTTTATAATTTTATAATATTCATTTTTGTCAATTTTCTGGTGAATAATAATCTGATTAGGTATTGAAATTATCTAAATAGTATAGATAAAAGTTGTGTAATAATAATAAAGACTATCATTTATATTTATACCTTTTATACATTATATTTAATATGGTGTTTGTATTCTTATGTAACGAATAATTGTTGTTGTTAGATAAGCGTTTTCATTTTAGTTATATCTTATATTCTCACATACATAACGGAAAATTAGAAATGTTATTATTTTTTTCGTTTTATTTGAAAGTTGAAGAAAAAATTTAATAATTGTTAGGTAATTTATTTTAGCAATAATGATACTTCTATATTTTAAGTACTTACTTTTAATGTTTACTTCGATAAGTTTTTGAATTTTAGTGAGGAGGTTTGTTTTTCATGGAAATATTAATGGATATAATTATATAAAACAAAAAATGTGTTGTTTTTCGAGTAAGTACAATAAACGCTGACTGGTCAAATTTAAATTTATCCATAAAACTAACATAAATCAATCTACAGTGTTTTGAAATTTAAAGACTAATTCTGCATTATTATTTGAGAAGCCCTCTAAATACGGAAACCCGTGAACAAAATAAAATTAATTTATAGAGTAGTTTAACTCTAGTATAGGTAGATACAAAATATTAATTCATCACCCCTCGTCGGACATATATGTTTGTCTGGTATACATATTTGTTAGAATTTGTGTCATGAAGTCCATTAGAAATTTTTCAAAATATTGTCTAGAAGACTATAATATACTGTAGTGTTAGTCGTGTTAGCCGCGTCACTTAAAATGGTCGATCTATTCGTAGGTATATTATTAATTTATACTTATTTAATTACGTCGCTGCCTCCGATATCTGAGTTTTTTTTTAAGTTTCGGTTATTATTACACACGCACAAGACGATAGCGGTTTAATACGCAAAACGGTGTACCTATATCTCGCGTGAATTTCATCCCGAACAGCCGCTGTATATAATTACGCGTACTGCCTGTGCGTGTTGTTTTTGCGCGAAACAAATTCGTGTGTATAATAATAATTATTATTTTGGTCGATAAAACGTTTACAGACACACACACATATACATATATGATATATACACGTTTAACCGTACTTGCGTACCGGTTCAGTCGGGTGGCAGTATTTTCCCGCGATCGTTTAATAAATTTCTATATAGAACCGTCGACCACGTACCTTCTCTCGCTGTATAATAATAGGTACCCGTTGCAGCATCATCATCGGCGACAGCGGTTACCGCAAACTAGGTTTCTTTCTAGTCCTCGTTCGTTCGTTATAACAATGTAGAATGAATAAATTTATGTTTAATAACAAACGTACCTACCGATATGTGTGTACCCAATGGCTACAGTTGTAGTGCACTCACCGATGGCGTAACTAGACATTGATATATATACCTATATCCGTGATGGATAAACATTTAGATGCGCCCCTCCCCCCCCACTCACTGTCGATCACCGTCGCGAAGTATAAAAAGTTATCCTGTTAGCGTATATGGATCATGGACATTAGAGTACTCTATTAGGACACTATTGTGTTCGCGGTAAAGATACGTGTACAGATAC